TCAGCAGGAGTTTGCTCTAGACTGAAGGGTTGAACTTGAACCTAGACTTGACTTCATTCTAGCAAGTAAATTAGTTATGGCTTCTGATAAGCAGCTCTCCAAGAGCATGAGGTAACTTGAGAGCAGAGCAAAACTTCTTCCATGGTAGGACCAGCTCCTTGCCAAGAGTAACATAACTGCTAGTAGCAGAGAGTTCTGCCGCACCAATGGGACAGTGGAGGCAGTGCCTTTATCCCTGGGACCTGGAGACCAATGTGCCATGGTAAAACAATAGCCCACCCTGTCTTTACAGCTTCTGGGTCCCAGTGTTTATCATTAAAAGGTAGTATTTTGGTTTTGAATACCCACAAAAACCTCTGTAGTGGTTCCCTGTACTTCTCAGATAACTGAGGGATCAAAAAGGTTTGTTTGGGAGAGGGAACTGTGTTCTCTAGGGGGAATTTGGGGCAGTGAGAAAGTGTTGTATGTATTGTCTAATACATAGGAACAAGACAAGTGTATAACAAGTTATTTTTGTAACTTTCATCTCTCCACCTTTCAATTTCTCAACCTATTGTTTGCAGCTCTCAATTCTTGTGTCAAGTTCAATATTAGAACTTCAGCTTGTTAGGACAAGGAAAGTGTCTGTCTATATGTTCTGCCACAAGTCAACACTCTATAGATACTGTGGCTAAATATGAAGTAAAATATCATTATTTTGTAATTATAATATCCCTGCTGTTTTTTCTGAAAATCATTTTATTTTCTTCTTGGTATTCTGCTATTTCTAATTAATAACAGAAAATACCAGTTGCTTAAAAAATATTCTCATTACACAATGCCACATGAGTGGATTCACTTTCCTAGCACTTTTTCAGAGACTTTTGTGTTAGTCTTTGATTTTTTTCTTCATTCTTGATCATGATTTTTGACAGACCATCGAGAGGCTTTTGGACAGAGGACAATTCTTTAGTTTGCAAAGCTCACTATGTGTACAGACTAATGATGTAAGCCACAAAGAGAATTCAATATACATTGAAATAAAGCATCCAAAAGAATACAGTGGAATTATTTGTAGTGTTTAAACCAGTGTAATGAAAATATAAAAGTTACATATTTGCACATAAACAATTCTGACTTGTAAGATTCTGTCATTTTAGCCAAAATTTCATTTTAAAGGTCATTGCAGAATTCCCAATTATCATATTTTGTATTTTCAAATCTGTATTTAGGTGTATAGAGTCTTTGTGAGTATTTGTCTATCAGAAACAATTGTTTAACTATAGCCAAACTATATGCAGTTTTCCATAAAATCCTCTAAACAGCACGTAATCATATTTCTTTTAGAAAGTATAATTGCTTTCCCCATATAAAGCCAAATATAGCTTAGCAATTGTGGCAAAATATTAAGAACAATGGCTGGTGTGATTTAGGGTATAATATAGCCACTTGACCAAAATACACTCCAACCACAATTCATGTACTTGGTCAAATGACAGGATTTTAAATATCCCACTAGAGTCATGGGCTTTTGATTTTTTTTTAAGCAAAATCAAATAAATGGGGAAAATAAGTAAGAAAGAAATGTGTTAGGTTTGTTATTTCATCATTTTGTGGTTCTAATTCATTTGATATCTCTTTGTATACAACACAGTGCTGTGCCTGTATCTCTCAAATGACTTATTTCTGTGGTACAATGCCTAAAATTAAACTTGCACATGGCAAGAACCACAAAATACTTAAAATGCTTTAAGTATATATTAGGACACCTTGTCTACATAAATGAAAATGACCTATGCAAGAACTAGAACTGATTGTATTCTTTTCAGATAAAACATTTTTTACGTCTTGTGGAAGACAAAATATTAGCAGGGGAAACCAAAATGGTTTTCTGGTAGTGAAAAATTTAAGCATTTCAGTAATGGTTTTTATAAAATGTTGTGAAACATTTGGCAAAGAACAAAATGAGTCCACTTAAATATAAACAACATTTTTTTGTGTGTGGTGTGTGGGGTTTTTTTGTTTTTTGCTTTTTGCCAATACTAAGACCCACTCCATTCTGTAGATCTATCTAGTCAATAGGCAGATCACAGGCAAAATCAGGAGTGTTGGGTGCTTTTGAAAGGACTCCAAATCTTTTAATTTACTTATCATCTTTGTTAATTTTTTATTATTTTCTCTGGAGTCCTGACTTTGACTATATCTTGACTAAGAAATTTGGATCAGGTCAAAATATAATTGACTGTCCCCACCCCAGATGTTGTAGAACATCGCTCTTCCACACAAAGTGCTCCAGTCACTTTATATGTATTTCAAGAATTGCTCTGCTGAGATGTGTTTTCAGATTATTTAAGAACAAGTTGATTTAAGCCATTTCAGTCTAAATTGTTTTAGCATCAATGTGGAAATAAAACAGCTAATATTATCAACTCGATACCACTACCCCAAAAGCACCAGTGGTCTTTCAAAATTCATCATAATCCATTGCTGCTGGGGAGTAGGTACCTGTTAGACATTATAATGGCAATAGTTTAGAACAGCCATATATGGAGATAGGGCAAAACTGCTTCTAGATCTCCAGCTGAATTAGTAAGGCTAATAACATATAGAAGCAAATCTCTACTAATTGATAAACTGAAGCTTAACCACATGAAATATAAACACCATTTAAATATATTTTGACAGGTTAAATCTACAGCAATGAAGACTGTTGCTGCATTTACTTCTGGAATTATTGTACTCCTGTTTTCTTTGGTGCAACGGGCCAGTGGACAATGTAAAGAAGCAGCTGTAAAGTCAGAGATGAATGTGAGCATGAAGTATCAGCTCCCTCATTTCATCACAGAAACACCAATACAGAATATAGTTTTATACAAGCATCATATCTATATTGGAGCAGTCAACAAGATTTACGTCTTAAATGAAAACCTCCAGAACCTTTCTGTATATAAGACTGGACCCGTGCTGGAAAGTCCTGATTGTGCACCATGTGAAGATTGCAAAGAGAGAGCCAACTTATCCAACAGTGTTTGGAAGGATAATGTCAACATGGCTCTTCTCCTAGAAACATACTATGATGATCAGCTCATCAGCTGTGGTAGTGTAACTCGAGGTGTATGTCAACGTCACATCATTCACCCCGACAATCCTGTAGACATAGAAAGTGAAGTGCACTGCATGTACTCAAAACAGATGGATGGAGAGTCAGACAGCTGTCCTGACTGTGTTGTAAGCACTTTGGGAACGAAAGTTTTGGTGACTGAAAAGGACAGATTTGTAAACTTCTTTGTTGGGAATACTATAAAGTCTTCATTTGAACCACAGCATGCACTTCATTCAGTGTCGGTTAGAAGGTTAAAAGAGACCCAGGATGGCTTTGAGTTTCTCACAGATCACTCTTATATAGACATTCTCCCACAGTTTAGGGACTCTTATCCCATCAAGTACATCCATGCTTTTGAAAATGACCATTTTGTCTACTTCCTAACGGTCCAGCGTGAATCTCTTGATTCCCAGGCTTTTCACACAAGAATCATCCGTTTCTGCTCTTTGGATTCTGAATTGCGCTCTTACATGGAGATGCCGCTTGAGTGCATTTTAACTGAAAAGCGGAAGAAGAGGTCGACTGGAGATGAGATATTTAATGTTCTGCAGACAGCGTATGTCAGTAAGCCAGGTGCAATTCTGGCTCATGAAATGGGTCTTAGCATGAATGATGACATTCTGTATGGTGTCTTTGCACAAAGCAAGCCAGACTCTTCAGAACCAACAAACAGGTCTGCTGTCTGTGCAGTATCTGTCCGAACAATCAATGAATTTTTCAACAAGATTGTAGACAAGCAAAACATGAAATGTCTTCAGCACTTTTATGGGAAAGATAGCAAATACTGTGTGAAAAGGGTAAGTGAAAATTATTTTGTTACATACAGATTTGGTATTGGATTCTGCTGTCTGTTTTTCACATTAACTACTCCATTACTGTGTGATTGTCCCATTGATGGCAGTAGTGAGATGCGAGTCTTTGCTGGGTAAGGCCCCTAATCATTTGCAGACTGTTTGTGGTGTCCATTTAAAGATGCAACAATTAGCACTAGTTCCAGTCAGCTTTGCCAATGACTCATCTTTGCAAGAAGCAGTTACTGTAAATCCGTGCTCATCAACCGGTTGATCGCGAGGCCTTGACCAGTCGATCGCGAGGCGTTTGGGTCCCCGCAGCCCCCATTTTCTCACCACCCCTGAGAAGCCCCACTACCTACCTCCAGTGTAGTGCCGACTTCCCATGGGGTGGACGGAAGTCCTGCCTGCAGCTTTGCGCCATTTCCGGGAGTTCCGGAAGTGTGCTGGCTACTCCCCTCCCACAGGTGGTGTGCAGGGCGTGCTGCGGGAGGGGGCATCGACCTGGGAGGAGGAGCTCGGCGGCTTCCCTGTGCCGCAGGAGGGGTGAGTCGAGCACAGGGGTTTCCCTGCTCCGTGGGATTGGACAAAAAAGAAAGATTTTCTAAACAAAAATATATGACACACAAACCTATTTGTCTGTAACATATTCTAATAATGATCAGAGGCCATACAGGTTTCTCAGAGTCCCTCCTGGATGACCACAGATGTTAGGTGGTCAGTACAGGATGGGTGAAGGTCACATTGTGGGATTTCCCACTGCACAGATCCTCTGGCATCTCCTCTATGTCAGATACATACTGCACTCTGGAGAGTGGCCTAGCCAGTAGGCTCAAATAGTCTCTACACTGGCTCTATTATGTTTCTGTGGTCTTCTGTGGAGATTCCCAGGGTTGAGCTGAGATACTGGAGTTGCCATTTAGTTCTAGGACTATGAACATGTTACACTCTATATTTTTCTCTCTTTTGTCCGGATTTTCAGGAAAGTATAAGCAGTTTTGAAAATTCTTCACATAGTAGCTTCTGTTATCTTTCTCTGGTGCTTTTATAACCCACACGCTTATATGGGTATGTGGTCCCAGGTTCAAATCCGCCTGCCAGCGGTTACACTTTATCTTCATCTTAACCATTTTTCTCAGACCTTAATATTCCTTCTTTGTGTTTCACTTTGTGTTTCACTGAGTATCCATTTTTATTCTCTGAAAACAGTTTTCTTCCTTATTCTCAGATTATTTATTTGTGTGTATGTGAGGGTGGGAAATGTATCACTGAATTGATCTCATTCTTCCGTTACCTAGCCAAACCTCTTTAATAAGATGGTCTTTTCACAGCAAAGTGTTCCTTTTAATATATGGATGGAATAATCTGTGAATTTTTACACGCTAAGAAATTCTTTCTTGTTTCAAAATGTTTTCCAGACTTTGCCACTGTTTTGAATATCAGAGCTGAATGTATTATGGCTACCCATGTTTTATTACAGTTGCAAGTTTCTAAGAAATGTCATCAGAATTGCAGATTTCTGCTCTTACTTTAGCTATATAACATTGACAAAGGATTTCTTTAAAGGAAGAAAAATGGGTCTGTGCCTTTTGTGCACCTTTTATTTTGAATAAAGGAGGCTTGAATATATTTGTCCTGATACTTTTTTTTTTACCATGGAAATATCAAGACTGTCAAGATTAACTTTATTTTTTTGATGGAGAACTCATTGGAAGGCTTAAATATCTATTGTGAGCTTTCCTAGCCCTTGACTGAAGAGTAGGTGATTGGCAAAGGATTTTTAAAAACTGAGTGTGGGTCCTTTCATTGCTTAATTATGATGTATAAAGAAGACATAAAAGGTTTTGGTTTGGTTTTAGGGGGGAAGTAAATGTCTCCCTCCCCCTTTTCTTTTAGTCAGGGTTTGGAATGGGTCCCATATGAAGAGAGATTAAAAAGACTGGGACTTTTCATCTTAAAAAAGAGGAGACTAAGATAAGACTATGATAAGAGGTCTATAAAATCATAACCTGTATGGAAAAAGTGAATAAGGAAAAGTTATTTACTTGTCCCCATAACAACATAAGAACTAGAGGTCACCAAATTAAATTAATTGATAGCAGATTTAAAGCTAACAAAAATAAGTTTTTCTTTACACAGTGGACAGTCAACCTGTGGAACTCCGTGCCAGAGGATGTTGTGAAGACCAGGTCTTTAACGAGTTTCAAAAAAGAACTAGATACGTTCATGGAGGTTCAGTCCATCAATGTCTATTATCCAGGATGGGTAGAAATGGTGTCCCTAACCTCTATTTGCCAGAGCCTGAGAGTAGGGACAGGAGAGGGATCACTTGATGATTCTATGTTTCTTTTCACTCCCTCTGGGGCATCTGGCATTGACCACTGTTGAAAGAGAGGACGCTGGGCTAGATGGACCTTTGGTCTGACCCAGTATGGCCATCTTATGTTCTCATGTTCTTAATCTTAGAAATATAGAGAATGTCAAATCTCATGTTTTGGAGAACCTCTTGTTGTTTTAAAGGGCATTTTTACTGTGAATTTCAACACCTTAATCGAAGATTAAGGAGTCTGAATATTTATCTCACTATTTCTTTTATCTGGTGTGATCTTTAATCACAGAGTTTTAAACAGTCTGACTGAAAACCTTTCCTCCTCTCAATTACTTTCATTTGCTTGACTCATGTAATGTTACCATTTCACATAGTTTTCCAGCCTAGAAGGATGTAAGTTTCTAATGTAAAAAAAAAAATGAGGTAAAACATTCCTTTAAAAATTGATGAAACAAAACCACTTTTCAGGTGTTCTTTATGCATCAGAGAGACATTTAAAAAAACCACATCCCAACTTGTTTCCCTTTGTAGTCATCTTTAACTTGATACAAAATTTTCTATAAACCGTGGCAATTTGTCATAGTTTATTTTGGCAGAATCAGAGTGTTATTTTATGTAATTTAGCCAAGATAATGTGTGTCTCTTTAATGTTATGAGAGATGCAAACCACAGTCTTGTGATCCTTCCTTCCCTAGTTTGGGTATTTGAATGACACTGCTTCAACTCATCTTGGTTTGATCGACAAAATTTGTTTTTACAAAATCAGAATTGAAACTGACTCCAGTTTTCCCTGATTTTAAAGGAAACTCATACAAGACCCAGCCCATTAAAGTTGGAAGAACAGCTCCATAGATGCATAAATTATAGATGTTATAAATTGTCATGGATCCATTTAAGTCAATGGAGATATGACAGTGTACACTACCTGAGGATCTGCTCCAGTTTTGACATTGACATCAGTGGGAACAGGAGAGCGATGATAATCAGCTTTGAATCAGACATAAAAAAGCAAAGTTAAAACTAAGAGTTTTCTAGTGCCTATGCCAGGACAAAAAGATTAATTTGAAATGGTTGCAAATATCTTATAGAGATTTTCGAATCATTGCTCTGGCATCTCCTCACCCACACCCACTATAGAAATTGAGTATCAGTTTTAATAGTTTGAGCCTTACTCACTAGTTCAAAATTAGTCATGTTCAGCTACTAAAATAGATGAAGTTTTGGATCAAGAGCCAAATCCTACTTGCCTTTCCTCACTTGTACACATAGTCCTTAGGTGCCTATCTAAATTCTGACTTCAGTGAGACTCCTTCCATGGGTGAGAGTAGGTTTTGAGCTGGACAATTACAGAAGTATTGTATATTTTACTGAGTAATAAGCTTAGAATATTTTTAGAGTTTTTTCATGTTGTTTTCTTTTTACATAGTAAACAATTGTGAGCCAATTTTGGTTCTCAGTTACGGGGATCCCGTTCCCATGGAAGGCATGCCTGTGGAATTGAGAGCAGAATTCAGCTCTAGATTTCCTGTGGCACAGAGATTCTATTTGTTTTGGTTTTCCTGTGACTTTTCATGTCCAAAGTTACTCCATGAAGTTACTTTCATCCAAAGTATGGCGAAGTATTTTGCAACCAAACATAGGTTGTTCTTTGTCACATCTGGCCAGGAAAACTGGTCATCACTTCTATCAAAGGAAGAACACAAACAGATAAAAAATTTGAAGGTCGGTGAAATGAAAACAAAGTGAAAAAGGCAGTAAAATAAACATGCAGTGATGTTTCTTTATTACTGTTACAAAGATGATAGATGAGTTAAAATTAGGTTTTGCTTATATTATAATGGAAGAAAATAATTGCAACCTTCCATCAAGAAACCACAAAGACCCTTATTGATCTGTCATCCTCAGGGTATGTCTGGTAATATTTAATAAAATGAACAGAGACAAATAACTCTTTTGAGGCCCTGTAATCTCCCACACCATTTGGATTACAATTTTTTCGCAGAATTAAAAATAGCCCCACATCTCTGAAATTATAAAGGTTGGAAACGCTAATTTAAACAATCTCTCGCAATAAAGCAAATGGATTTTCATGTACAATAGAATACAATATGGTTTGAAATATTTCCTCTAAGAGTCAGGCATTAGAATCCTGATTTTTTTCAATAGTTGATGCTTTTTGAAATGCTATGTATTAAAAAACAAAAATGTTTTCTGAGGGCCTTGCTCGTGATATTAGAAATAACTTTGGGCACGCAACCTTCCTTTTAGTTGCTATGCCATAATAATCCAAATTAAAAAGATATAAAAGTTCAGGGCCTGATTGTACCCACTAAGTCTATGCACTGAGGGTACTGACACATGCTGCAGCATCCCTTCCCACCCTTACCACATTTGTAGAGGATTCTAGATAGGTCATCTGTTGGATGTGTAAACAGGCTATGACAAGGCAGTGGGAAGTGTGTGTTGTCCTCTAGAAAAACATGCTTGGCTCTCAGGAGAAAGATAATACAATCTAAGCAGGTGTCTCTGTGTGATCATTCTGCATGGATCCCTTCAAAAGAGAGATCCAGAGAAGGAAGGAGGCATAGAGAAGCACTGTCATTCCTTTGGAATCACACTGCCAGGGAGCAAGAGGTGACTTTTGGAGACCCAG